TTTTTTTTTTTTTTTTAGTTTGCGTAATTGTCATTCTTCCTATAATAGAATTTCCTTTTTTAATTCATATTTCCTCTCTGATAGTTCGAAACTTAGTAAACCTCTAGCGTTATTGAAAACTTTGTCCTGTACTGTATGTGTTTAAATTGGGGGCTTATAGATTAAAAATTAGTTTTTTCTTCTTTTTAAAATGAATGCAATAAAAAAAATTAAACATTTTCATATTTTTTCATAGTAAATTTTGAAAACTATCGACAATACTGTGAAAAATTAAGTTTAAAAATTAATTTTTGCTTAAAACGGATTTAAACGCGTAAATAAAATCATTTTAAAAAATGTATAGTACTGTGTTTATTCATCTGATGTTAATTTTTTGACTTAAATACTAATTACTAATAAATACTAACAAATTTTTGACATACATTCAAAAGCACAGTTTGCTTTTCTTGTAATAGCTATTAAATTAAATACTTCTTTGAGTAGAAACAGAAATTTATGCTGCAATTACATGAGAAAAAAAATAAAACTATAAAAACATTTAAAGTACATGATAAAGCACTTTAAATATTTCTGTTTTCCTTTTTTTTTTTACCTTTTTCATTGTCAAAAATAAATCATTTAAGTTAATAAAAAGAATTTCATTTATAAATTTTTATGTTACTTATATTTAAAAAACTAAATTTCAGGTTATAATATATTTTGTTCAAGAACTACATGCAAGAATGTTGAAGCATCTACTTAAAGTGAGTAAAATATCTATTATTTCATTAAATTTTTATAAAACAAATTAAGAAGTGAATTAGATTAAATAAATGTTATAATCTATAGAAATATAGTAAATATCTAAAACATGTTTTAAACTTAAAAATATTTTCCTTCTGATCCTCTAATAGATTTCAATTTTCAACGAAAGCTGCATATAATTTTTTTTTTCTTTTGGAAAGTGTAAGTGAAAAAAAAAAAGTTATGTGGCTGAGAGGATATTAATATCAATATTGTTGGCACATTATTTTAGGCTATTAATGTCTACATCATAGGCACATCATTATTTTAAGTTGCTGTAATGCTTAAAAGCAAAGGAGGAGTAAAATAATCTAACTGTTCAAGATTTTTCATCACTTTTGGATGGACTTTACAGAAATCTTATAATTTTCAGTGTATGCCAAAAAAAATTTATTCTTTAATACAGTAGATAGAAATTATTTTTTACTTAATTTGTTAAGACTTCTCTCAACTCAATCCAATATTATTCCAAAATAATGCTATAATTGTTTCCACAATATAAGTAAAATTGTTTCTTTTTTTCTTTTATTAGCCTCACACTTATATTTGAAAGTTAAAATTTTGTTTTAAAAAAATGAATTCTTGTTAAAAGGATAATTTTATTCACTGTTTCCCAAAAATATTTTTTAGAGAGTAATTCCATTCAATTAATTTTTTAGAAGTTAATTTTAAAATAAAGAATCAAATCAAATTTTAGAATAGAGATAAATACATTTGTGAAATACCACCATTTTATAACGTAGATTATATTATAACTAACATCGATAATTCAAAGTAAACACTATAAAATTATTGATTGAATATTTAAGCAAGAAATGTTCCACCTTATTTCCAGTTTTTTTTTCATTTTTTTTATACTATATTGTCAAATTTATTAGAAACAAAAATTAGTTATGAAAAGTATTGAATTATAAGTTTAATGCATATACTTATAATTCAATATCTTATAATTACAATTCAATTTTCAATCATTCAATTTACAATTCAATTCAATTTTACAATCATAATACTTATAATTACAATTCAATTTTCAAAAATTTACAGAATGTTCAAAACAATCTGAAAAGGACAACCCAAGTGCTTGTTCCTTAACAAAGTTTACTCTTCTAAATTTTATTCTACTTTTTAACCTCTTTTGCAACCTGCTGTAATTATTGGCAATGTTAGGGCAATATCAATTAATTTCCTGAATTTAAGATGCATCAGAGTTATATCATTGTCTTTACACTTACTAATATTAACAGAATTCTATTATCTTATACATTTGTGTTTATATTAATTAAATCTATAGACTTTTGAAGTGATAATTTTTCTTCAATGATACCAAAACACTTAGCTAGTAATTTTCCAAGGAATATTTTTACTTTTGGCAAAGTTTTTGAGAACTGAAACTCAAATCCAATGACTCAAGGTGTGGATTGGCGAATTCTGATTTTAAGGTTAAATCTTAATTACTTAAATGAAAAAAAATTGATATTTCAATTAATTATGATAAACTTACAGCGAAATCAAGTTTAAAAACTGAATGGTATATAAAAAATGCTTTTAAAAAGTAAAGAAAAATGTTCTTATATTTTTTCTCATTTTTTTAAGATATCTGATCTGTTATCTTGTATCTTATTGAATACTTTGAAAAGGTCTGATATGCTATCTATCTTCTCTTTTTTTTTTCACTGATTATTTATATAATTTTTTTCTTATGTTAATTTTGCTTTTAAGTGTATTCATATGTATTATCTTTATCAAATGTGCATATCCTGTTGAAAATAAGTATATTTTTATTAATTAAAAAGTGAATATTTTTATGAATTAAAAACAATTAGGTATAATTCTTACAATTACAGTCTAATTACACTTGGGGTATTTTCAGTTTCCATTGTCTTTTTGTAACTTAGCTTATTATTTCCATTATTTTTTTTTTTTCTTGTCTGAAAAATTGCACTTTTTTCTTTTATATTGGTTACTTCTTGTTTTTCCCACTAAAAAGTAGTCTCACTTTTTTTAAATCATAAAAATGAGAAAAACTTTTTTTTTTTTGGTGTAGTTTAGTTTTTTTATAATAACTAATAATCATAAAATGAATATAGACATCAATATAGTAGGTAAATTGAAAACTGCCAGAGCTAGGAAAAAATATTTTCAGTGAGTCTTTCTAATAATAAAATATTTGGAAAAATAAGAATTTACTCATTGTACATTGCATGTATTTTTAGATTTGCCTAGTAAGTTTGCTTACACCTGTTTATCAATAAATGTTGCTCTGGAAACAGGTGGCAAATGTTTAAAGATGATTTATGTNTTTTGCATTTTATAGAATTTTGTGTTATGTAAATCATTTCTTACATCATTAGGTAAGCTTATTTTCAAAACATGGCATTTGTGAAATAGATCAAAAATTTTATTTTAAAGTAATTTTTATTTACAATCACTTTAAAACACAAAAATATGCACTAATTTATTTATTTATTTTATATAAATTTGAATTATTAAGAGCATTGGAAGCAAAATTCCACAAATTGATAAATTCGGTTGGTTTCAGAAATTAAGTCAATGTGGTTTGTGGAGAATTGTGGTTTATAGTTGCATTATATAAATCTTCTCTTGTATGATATTTCCTTAGTGTTCAAGGTATGTCATTGTTATATTCTCAATATTTTATTTCTATTCTCTCACAGAAAAAGTTAGACGTTATTGGCCGCAATATGTTACATACATTTACTATCCCAGAAGGAAAAACATTTATCAATGGCAAATGGGTATCAGCTAAATCTGGAAAGGAATTTGATGTTAGTATTATTTGTATTTTTTAATTTACAAATTTTAAGAAACTGAATAATGTGACTTATATTATTTTTATTATTGTAAGACAATATTTTATTATGTGCTCTAATATTAGCAAAATGAAAAGTTTATTAATATTTATTAAAAAAAATATTGCTTAAAAGTTTATTAATACTTATTATTTTGTAATAAATATTAATACACTTTGTTAATTTTACTTTTTTCACTCATGTATAAATTGATGAAATGTATTATAACTTTAGAATGCTGTATTTTGTGGTAATTATCTAAAAATTTGCCATTTAACCTATTTAAAATTTTTCATACTGAAAATATTAATAAGTAAATTAAAAGGCAAACTTATACTCAAATTGCTAATCAATTTTCTGCCTGCATTTTTAAAAATAATTATATGTAATAACTGTTATCAGAAAAATCTTTTAAGAGTATATTTTTTGAACAATACTTTTTATAAGTTTATTTTCCACTCATCTAATTTTATAGTACGAAGTAAAAGTAGAATTAATAATTAAGGATTTGAAATATGGAATTAAAGATTGTAATTTATTGTAATTTTCTAAATTTGATTGCACCACAAAGGTGAAAGTACATCTTAGTTCAGAACCCCATGCAGCATCACCTACTGATGTGGTTACTTCCTCATTTTAGACATAGATCTGAAGGGGAAAGAAATTTTCTGCAAAAGTTTCGGCTCAGTGACTAACCACAAGACTTCCGATTCCATGTATTTTACGAGCACAAATATCACATTCAAAATTTGTTACAAGCTTATATTTTATGGACTCATCTAATTAATATTAGTTTAAATTTCTTTATTACTACACATTAAAAATAGCAATTTAAAATATTTTAATTGAATATCTAATTTGAAGTTTTTGGATATCTAAAAAAATTACTTTAGTAAAATATTAACTTAATTACTTTATTTAATACGTTTAAACAGTTATTTGTATAATTTAATTATGTTATTTATTTCATGTTTAATGTGAAAATTTTTTAGTTATAACTATTTTTCCATTCCTATTGATTGACCTAGATTAAAGTTAATTTATTTAATGCAAATGCCCTTGTTAATTTTAAAACAAAATAGGTTTTTAATCCTGCAAACGGAGAAGTTATTGCAAGGGTTCCTGATTGCAACACTTCTGATTTGGATGATGCAATTCATGGTGCTTCAGAAGCCTTCAAAACATGGAGCAACACTACTGCAAAGGTATTTTGTCATGCATTAATACAGTCAATTCAGTATAATTTGAAGTCAAATAACCCGATTTAATATAATAACTTCAGCTTTTAATCAAATTCTTTTCAACCTTTTATTTTTAATTCCAACCTATTCTCAATTACTCGAAGATAACCCTTTAGAACTCAGTATTTTTTTAAACACAGTAAGAATATTTCAAATATAATATATCATGCAGACCACAAGATGTCTAATTTATGCCGCACCTGTGTTGCCATACCTAATTATAGCGAATAAAATTTTAAATCTGTTTATTGTTGTAAGTGAAATGTGAAAATAGACTGTTCAATTTTTTTTTCTATATATAAATCTTCAGTCCCCATAAAACATATAAATCCTCTTCTTATAAATACCATATAAATTTTCAAGAATTAAGTTTTTGTCAATTAAGATCATTTGCTCAACTGTGCATCTTAGGATTTGTAGTGGTTGGAAGTAGCACTCTACAAGTAGCAAAACTATTGCTACTTTTTTGCAGTTTGTTGAATAGTATGCTACATTAAAAAAAAAGAAGCAGTGCAGTGAGTAGTGCAATACAAAAGAACAATAGCTTGTATCAATTCCTAGCAACTACTTTTAACAATTGGTAAAGAAACAAGGTTTAAATGGAACTAATTTTTTAAAATTTGATTGGTGCAAATCTTATGTAGATCTGTCAACAGATGTGATGAGAATGGCTGTTCATTAATAAAAATTATGCATGATCCTCCAGAACAGCAATTTTTTTTATAAAGCCTGGCTGCATTTGCTTATTTCATTGTTTTCTGGAAATCTCATAACTGAAATCACATGTATAATTAGTTTTATACATGTTTCTGTTTTCATTATTGAAGATGGCAGCTGCTTTAAAGGTTCATGATGATAGTATTCTACCTTGGCCAGCGTATAATACTTAGTTTGGTGCGATCAAGAATTTTTTTATTTTATTTCCAATGGCAAAAGAAAATGACAAACTCTTACAAAATCAGTGAACAAAAAGGTGAACAACAAGTAAGAGAAAAAAAGTCACTATCTCATTAATAGATGTCGGGCACTCCAGTAGCGCCTCACCTCAGAGTCCCCACGCAGAGCCGAGCATCTCAATAGACGGTTCCTGTCTATAAATTCATTATTCCATCATAGCGGACAATTTGGGTCAGCGAGAATGCTGATGCGACAGAGGTGGTTTGCGAGGCAATCATGGCCCACCGCAAGTCTGAATTCTGCAACAGCTTTATTTCGGGGCTTATCGGCAATACCCTGTTCTAAGCTGTTCTCTCAACTTCTTGAAGAAATACGAGAAGTGAGCAATGCTTTCCATTTCCATCGTCCAGGGATACGATGGTAGATTTGCCTCCTAGTGGTGTACCCCGGAAACGTCTCGGCGGCTAAGATATCTACCAACTTCGGCATGCAGCACATCCCGAAGCGAGCCTATCCTCGTGGGTCTCCATGTAGCCCGAGCGATCAAGAAACATGAAAATGAGAATTTTTTAGCTGCATGTAAATTTTCCCCATGAAACAAAACACTGTTGGTTTCAAAGTCGCCAACCTCTAATTTGTTGTTATTTATTTACGTCACACTAGAGCTGGACAATGGACTATAGTCAACGGTCTAGTAAGCATCCCTGAGGATGATCCGAAGACAACACAATTTTGATCCTCTGCAGAGGCGTAGCACCCCCACTTCTGTAGCCCGACAATCTGTGCACAAAGTCGAGCACTTTACGACAGAACAGTTTTACAAGGACAAATACTGCACACCCTCGGTCCCTTCGTAGACCGATCCAAGTGATCACCCACTTGCACTCTGACTGCAGCCAGTGTTGCTTGACTTTTGTGTTATACTGGGAACTTTGTCTTAACGATCAGTTCACTACGGGACCAACCTCTAATTTGAATTACACCTTTTAAATTATGATGTCTTCAAATGTGAATGTAGTACACTCGTGAAATGTTAAAAGAATATATGCATGTTATTACAATGGATAAGAACATATTTTTCTTCATTATTTTTGTTGTAATTTATTTCTCATGTGGCTTATGTAAGCATGAATCAATATATCTTAATTATTCAGCATGTTTGAATAATCTAATTTATCATTCAAAACCATTTCAAACTTTAGTCTAAATTAAGTTCAGCAACTAAGTTTGTTTTCTAAAAGTAATTTGTAGTAACTACATTTTTTTTTAGAAAAAGGTGCTGTAGTTAATTACATATGTATTAAAGTAGTTGTTGTTCACTATAGAAAAATTTAGTTCTTCTGACACCAGGAGACTTGTTTACCATCTGTGTATCCATAGTTTATGCTCAGGAATATAATAGATAAAAATATGTCTTATTTCGTGTTATGGTATGAAATTCATACTTTCTATTGCACTTTTGTTGTGATACCAATTTTCTGTATTAAGTTGTATTTATTGATTGATTAAAATGAAACAATCATAAAAATATTGTTTAATAATATATACTGGCATCATATAACTATATTGGTGTATTACAGCTGCAAAATGTAGTTTCATTTAGTTTCTATTGCAAATTATAAAAAATATAAAGTCCATAAAATAATTATTCATATAAAATTTAAAAATATATGTACATATACACTGTAATATTATGCTAAAAATAGTATTGGTAAGAAAAAAAATTAAAAAAAACTGTTTGAACTCAAAAACAAATGTTACTCAATATTTATTGTGTTTGTGTGCATTACATTAAAAAGTGATACCAATTATTTATAAATATAACATCAAATAAAATCTATTTATCAATCAAATATAAAATTGGTGATGAAAACATAATTACTCCATTTATTTTCTACTGTTAAGTAAAGAAAAAATATGTTAATTCAGCAT